TTATTTCACAATTATTCAATATTGCAGTAGTCTGCATAACAGTAAATATTCTATTTTTTTTTTTGAATAAAAATTCAAAATAGAAAGCAAGAGTAATATCAGAGGGGCCTGGAGACATGACTGATGAACAAAGAAAATGTTAGTTTAGAGCCAGGAATGTCTGCATTGTTCATTCTGGACCCTATTTTTTAATTTGCATGAAATTAGCCAAATTGCAAATTTCTGACCACATTATTGGGTAGTTGAAATTGGTAAATGGGCAGTTTCTTGTACTCAATCGATAGAACAAATGGAGTTTTAAAGACATAGCTATGAGTTTGGTTGACTGGAACAATGGAATTAGCCGAAAATAGGGCTCAAAGTGGGCAAAATCGCCGATTCATAAATATCGCCGAGGTTGCTAACTTCGCGAGAGTGTAATTCCTTAAGTTTTCCGTCAAATTTCGTGTTTTTGGTTTGATTACCACCAGGAAAAGATTCTATAAGATTCTATATCATTTCACAAGAATTTTTTTTTTTTTTCACAAATTTCTCGACATCAAAAGACACCTCAGGATTTGGGGTTTCGACGGTCAAGGGGTTAATGACTCTCGTGTAGTTAATGTTCATGCTGCAGTTACCCATCAAGGAGGGTACCCTGACGCTCAAAATGATCTTGATTCGAGGAACAGGAGCTATCCTTCCCTTTCTCGAACTGAATTTGATTACGTACCTCAAAATGTTCAGGCACTGTATGATCATTGTGGGTGCTTTCCCATGAATATAATAACACTTAGCACTTGATTTACTGGGCTAATGTGGGGAGGGGTGAGGGTTCATTAAATCCAGACTGAAAATATTTTCCATGATTATAATAGTAAGGGACAGATTTCAGATTTATCCCTGAATTGAGAATATTTTCCATGATCATAACAATAATGTACAATTTTCAGATTTAACTCTGAACTGAGAATATTTTTCACGATCACAGTAAAGGATAATTTTCAAATTTAATGGACTAGTGTGTTCAATTTAAAGTGAATATACCCAGAGGACCATAAGAATACTAGACAATTCTTATTATTTAACAGACTGTGCACTGCTTCTGGAAGTTGTCTGGCTACAGATTTGTCCATTAAACTGAGGTTTTATTGTAATACTGAAGATTTTTAGGCAGAGTAAAATCAGCTTCACTCACGCCATGCATAGCTCTTCATTTTTATCATCCCACTGCTTAGATAGTTTATAAATTATTTTACTTGCCTACACAATTTAGAGTAATTGTATATGAGTTGTTTTACCTTGGTTCTGGACTGTACTGGTTCCTTACACATGAGGCACTTCTTAACCCGTGGGGAGCAGATGGAGCATGTGGCAATGTGTCCACAAGGACCAAATAGTGTATCCCGCTTTGTGTCTGAGCACACCATACACTCTTCCAGGCTTTCTTCTGCACACACTTCTAGTGCACCCATATCACCAGAACTGTAATTAATATAATTCAACATTATCAAAATTACTTGAGGGGACTTCAGCACCCCACAGCCATGCTGGTGTGGAATTCATCTGTAAAATTCTGCATGCTAACATTCTTATGGTGTACAGGAATATACCTAGTTGAACGAATCTTGTTAGGCTGGCATGCATCAGTGATTAACACACCGATCTGAAAGTTTTAGGACTTGCTGCCATGGGTTCAAGCCCCTTCCATTCTATGATTAATTTTAAAGAATATCTGATCATAACTGACACATTTAAATGTCTAAATAAAAACTGAACACAGATTAACTTTAATTATAAAATAAATTTAGAAGAAATAATTAAATATCAGATACATTAGAGCAATGAAATGTAATAGAACAAGTCAATATGTATAGTGTGAATGCTTCTCCCAAACAGAAATAGCCATATTTACATCGATTTGTCCTTATAGCACTTGGTGAGAGCCTTGCACAAGTTGGGATCTGGACAGAGGTCGAGTGGAGTTTGTCCTTTCTTGTTCTTGATGTTGAGGTCGGCGCCATGTGCCGCGAGCAGACAGGCAATGGAGGCTGGACTCTTTTTGTCAACGCCTTGAGTGCCCAAACCCATCAGTAACTGGGGTGACTTGAAGTGTATAAGTTAAAGGGATTTGCAGTAAAAGATATTCTTACAATATCACATTAATGTATAGTCATCTCTAGAAATTTATTAGATGTACCTTCCTAGAGGTCCCATGAAAGCAGAAACTGTGAATAATAAAAAATTAACTCTTAAAGAAAATTTTTTCAGCTTAAGGTTTATATAATTTTTCAAAGAATACAGGAGGGCCCTACTTATACAGTATTATATGTACGTATTTATCAGGCTTTTATATGCATTTTCAAATAACATGTTTACACTCTCATATATAAAGTGAGCAATATAGCTAGTCCTAAAAAAAAAATGCATATACAATACACACATTACTTACCTTAAATTATATTCATCCTTAGCTTATGAGTGATGACTATATTTATTGTAGGAAGTCTGAATAAATGAAGAACAAGTATAACTGAAAACCGATGTATTAGCAAAATACTGCAAAGCATTGCACTGCAAAGTGGGGCCTGCCTGTATGTCTTTTTTATTATACCAATCTACTCCATTTAATACTGAGAATCATAAGAAATATTTTTTTTTTTTTTTTTTTTATCACACTGGCCGATTCCCACCAAGGCAGGGTGGCCCAAAAAAGAAAAACTTTCACCATCATTCACTCCATCACTGTCTTGCCAGAAGGGTGCTTTACACTACAGTTTTTTAAACTGCAACATTAACACCCCTCCTTCAGAGTGCAGGCACTGTACTTCCCATCTCCAGGACTCAAGTCCGGCCTGCCGGTTTCCCTGAACCCCTTCATAAATGTACTTTGCTCACACTCCAACAGCACGTCAAGTATTAAAAACCATTTGTCTCCATTCACTCCTATCAAACACGCTCACGCATGCCAGCTGGAAGTCCAAGCCCCTCGCACACAAAAACCTCCTTTACCCCCTCCCTCCATCCTTTCCTAGGCCGACCCCTACCCCGCCTTCCTTCCACTACAGACTGATACACTCTTGAAGTTATTCCGTTTCGCTCCATTCTCTCCACATGTCCGAACCACCTCAACAACCCTTCCTCAGCCCTCTGGACAACAGTTTTGGTAATCCCGCACCTCCTCCTAACTTCCAAACTACGAATTCTCTGCATTATATTCACACCACACATTGCTCTCAGACATGACATCTCCACTGCCTCCAGCCTTCTCCTCACTGCAACATTCATCACCCATGCTTCACACCCATATAAGAGCATTGGTAAAACTATACTCTCATACATTCCCCTCTTTGCCTCCAAGGACAAAGTTCTTTGTCTCCACAGACTCCTAAGTGCACCACTCACCCTTTTCCCCTCATCAATTCTATATTCACCTCATCTTTCATAGACCCATCCGCTGACACGTCCACTCCCAAATATCTGAATACATTCACCTCCTCCATACTCTCTCCCTCCAATTTGATATCCAATCTTTCATCACCTAATTTTTTGTTATCCTCATAACCTTACTCTTTCCTGTATTCACTTTCAATTTTCTTCTTTTGCACACCCTACCAAATTCATCCACCAATCTCTGCAACTTCTCTTCAGAATCTCCCAAGAGCAAGTGTCATCAGCAAAGAGCAACTGTGACAACTCCCACTTTGTGTGATTCTTCATCTTTTAACTCCACGCCTCTTGCCAAGACCCTCGCATTTACTTCTCTTACAACCCCATCTATAAATATATTAAACAACCACGGTGACATCACACATCCTTGTCTAAGGCCTACTTTTACTGGGAAATAATTTCCCTCTTTCCTACATACTCTAACTTGAGCCTCACTATCCTCATAAAAACTCTTCACTGCTTTCAGTAACCTACCTCCTACACCATACACCTGCAACATCTGCCACATTGCCCCCCTATCCACCCTGTCATAGCCTTTTCCAAATCCATAAATGCCACAAAGACCTCTTTAGCCTTATCTAAATACTGTTCACTTATATGTTTCACTGTAAACACCTGGTCCACACACCCCCTACCTTTCCTAAAGCCTCCTTGTTCATCTGCTATCCTATTCTCCGTCTAACTCTTAATTCTTTCAATAATAACTCTACCATACACTTTGCCAGGTATACTCAACAGACTTATCCCCCTATAATTTTTGCACTCTCTTTTATCCCCTTTGCCTTTATACAAAGGAACTATGCATGCTCTCTGCCAAAAATACGAGAGATTTGGGATTGGGAAAGCCAATGAGCCTCTTAATTTGTAGTGACGACTGTAATAACAGATGTTTTGTGTGTGAACAACACTTAATATACGGGCAACATCGTTAATTACAAAATCTCACATTTTACTGTGGCTGCATTCCCAAATTACCTCTTTCCCCTCCCCCCCCTCCCCAAAAAAATGTCAATGTTTCAACCCAAATAAGAAAATCATCTAGCATTGTTCTAGATTTTCACAGTTGTCTATTTTAGTGTACTAATTTATCGGGATAATGGCAGGTCCTTGGAAAAGTTAGGTAGAAATTTTTTTGCAAAGTTCACAACCAACTAATTTATATATAATTCAGACCTTTCAAAAAGAGCTGCACTCCTGCCTGCACTCACCTTTCCAAATCTTGCATGTCTTGTAGCTCCCTTTAATTGGGAAGTGTGTGGTGCCTGAGTGCTTCATGAAGTGGAGTGTCTCCATCCTTGTCTGCCAAGTTCAGATTAGCCCCTTCACGGACTAGCAGCTAAAAACCACAAGGTAGTTTTAATTTGTCTTGAAACTCTCCAAAACTGCATCAAGTTACAGAAACATTTTCAACTAGTATAATGAAACAATTGCATTTTAAACATGTGAAGTAATGGATAAAAAATATTTATCAATAGCATCAATTTATCTACTATTTATATAAGTTGTATTATACTTTCTCAGATAAATATACAGTGGAACCTCTGCTTAAGAGTTTAATCCATTCCGTGACCCTGCTCGTATCCCAATTTGCTCATATGTTGAATCAATTTTCCTTATTTAAATTAATGGAAATGGCATTAATCCATTCCAGAGGAATTCCAGGCACTACAAAATACTTCATTATTTCGCTAATATCAACTCTATGGCTTATTTATCTATCACAATTCATCTACTATGACATAATAAACAATATTAATAACATAGAAATATGACATATACAGTTGAATGAATAAAATACTATGTCATTATGTATGTGGCTAGTGGTGGTGGCCACCACAGTGGCCATTCCTGCTTCTGACTACATACCTTCCCATGCTCTTATTATAACACAAAATGGAGTGTTTGTGAGGCAATGAGTACCAAGGAATCATTGGCAGAGGAAGGCAAGTCAACATCCCTTGAAACCCCAATGAAGACCATCGAAAACGTCACTATGAACTCCACCAGTGAAGGTAAGAACATTGTTTTAGTTGGGGACAGTCAAATGAAATTTATGGATAGGGCATTTTGTCTTAGGGACAGGAAGAGGAGGCAGAGGGTATGTTTTCCTGGGGCTGGGATGGGGGACATTGTTAACCGTCTGGACAACATCATGAAAGGTAATGGGAGCAATCCTATTATCTGGCACAGTGCGGGAGGCAATGATGTTGGCAGACATAGGAGTGAAGACCTGATTAGCATGTATAGGACAGCAATGGAGATAATTAGGAAGAAGGGTGGGAACCCTGTGATATGTGGCATTTTGCCCAGGAGAGGAGTTGGAAATGAATGGTTGTCCAGGGTAATTGGTGTCAACTGCTGGCTGGACAAACACTGTAAGGAAAATGCATTAACATTCATAGACAACTGGGACCTCTTCTATGGCAGAAATGACATGCATGCCTGGGATGGGGTTCACTTATCTAGGTTTGGGGTGGGAGCACTGGCCAATGCAGTAGAGGAAGCTGTTAGGTCTTTAAACTACAAATAGATAGTGGTATGGGTTTTTGCGGAAAATCAATGTATTCTGAGTGTAGTAATAGTGTGAGTTTTAAGGAAACCAGTTATAGGGAGAATGAGGAAGAGTTATTGGTGAGAATAGGAAAGCCAATGGCATTAGGTGATAAGGAGAGTAACAGGCATAGTGGAGGAACAGAAATCAGCAGGAAGAAAAAAGAGAAGGGTCTCTGAAAATATATTATACTAATAGTTGTAGTGCAAGAAATAAGATGGACGAATTAAGATTAGTTGCAAGTGCGGGTAACATTGATGTTTTTGCCTTAACTGAGACGTGGTTTAATATGAAAAATAGGGACATGCCTGCTGAATGTCACAGTCAGGGTTTTAAATTGTTCCAAGTAGACAGAAGTACTGAGAAGGGGGGTGGGGTGGCACTCTGTCCGTGATCGTTTAAATTGTTGCATAAAAACGGGTATAAAGTCTGAAACACATACTGAGTCTGTTTGGGTAGAATTTTCAGAGGGGCATGAAAAATTGATTTTAGGTGTGATATACCGTCCCCCAAACTTGGATAGAGACCGAGGAAGACTACTCTGGGAGAAAATTATTAAGGCCACAAGGCACGATAATTTTATAATTCTAGGGGACTTTAACTTTAGTAATACTGATTGGAATTTTCTGACTGGGAATTTAGAATCTAAAGACTTTTTAGAAGTAGTTCAGGATTGTTTTTTGAAGCAGTTTGTGACAGAACCTACAAGGGGAAATAACTTTCTTGACTTAGTTCTGGCAAACAAAGAATCCCTTGTTAATAATTTAGAAATTCCAGAGGAACTTGGTGCTAGCGACCACAAATCGATTACATTTAGCATTTAATGAAAGCATGATGGTAAGGATAACTCAGTAACAGTCCCAGATTTTCGCTTAGCAGATTATGATGGGCTTAGAGAACACTTATCATCTGTTGACTGGGGTAACAAAGAGAGCTATCAATATGACAGCTTTCTGAACACTATACGTACTGCCCAAAGAACATTTATCCCAGATAAAGAAATTAGATCAAATAGAAATGATCCAAAATGGATGAATAATAGGCTCAAATATCTTTTAGAGCATAAGAAAGGAATTTATAGGTGTATCAAAAGAGGTGAGGGTCATCTTATGAATCGGTATATTGACATTAAGAGAGACATTAAAAAGGGGATAAGAAAAGCTAAACGGGACTATGAAATTTAAGTTGCTCGGGATTCGAAAACTAACCCACAAAGTTTTTTCCAGGTGTATAGAACAAAAGTTAGAGATAGGTCCCCTTAAAAATAACTATGCACATCTTACTGACAAAGAGAATGAAATGTGCTCAATTTTAAATAATTATTTTCTCTCGGTTTTCACACAGGAAGACACTAACAGTATCCCAGTAATTAATTCTTATTGGGCCTGAAGAAGATAAATTATGTAACATCACAGTCACTAGTGAAACGGATATGAAACAAATAGACCGACTGAAGCAAAATAAGTTGGTGGGACCTGATGAGCTTTTTTCAAGGGTTCTTAACCCCTTGATTGTCGCAGCCCCCAATCCTTGTGTCGCAAAATTAAAAAA